ACAAATAACGGTAAATGAACAAAACGAAAATCTCATTCCAGCAATAAATAGCTGGCAAATACGTTAGAAAAACACGACGCATCAAAAATATCGGATAAATTTATTTGATATTTGAAATTTATATAAATAAATTTATGTGCAACCAACCTCTGTATTCTTTTGATGTGGTTTCGTAGTTCGCTGGTCTTTTTCAAATTGTCTGTTTCATGCTGATTGATTTTTAGATGGTATGTTGCGGGGTTGTGTTCCAAAATGATGGTTGTGGCGTATGCAATCGAGAAAATGCCACAGGAACATCCATCTGGTTGCAACGTTGCCGGTTCGATGAATTGATACTGTGCTCCGGGGTAAAGGCGAGTGGGGATGTTTCGTTGATATACGTCCAATCTTTTGCCATGATGTCCCTCCCCGTGTAGACTGTCATAAATTTTCAACGATTTTCAGCATAGATATAGTGAACTGTGGTGTAATGGCCAAGAAAGCTGGCCTGACCGCTGTATATTATTTGAAGATCGTCTCGATCGGCTAGAAGTCGTTTATATCGCTCTTGTTTTCGTTCATAGCAGACTGGATGCATGTTGAATGGTATGGTTCTGTTTGCGTTCACCAAATTTATAATGAACATATCGATTGACAAATCATTTAAGAATTCTGTTTCAACAATTTGATTTGTGATTGATTCTAGATCTGTATCCTTTGTAGTTTCACACAAGTCTTCGATTTCGTAGTAAAATCCATCCTCTTCCAACTAGGGAAAATCCACATTGTTGAGAATAAATGAGAATTCAAAGACGCTATCACAAAAAGGTAGGTTAGCGGGTGCTAGGTTGTTCCTGGGCCCCGTTTAATTTGATGAAATAAATCGAGTGGGAGTGATAAAATCCACCTGGGAGCCTATTTTGGGTACCTCCCGAAAAAAAGTTCGATTTTTTGAAGGTTTTTCATAGGCCCATGTCGTGTGTAAAAGTATTGTAATCACTCCAAAACCTAGGTACCCCAAAAAAACAATTTTTCTATCCATTTTCGGCACCAGAAAGCACGATACAGTGGTTATTTTGCTATGATAATGTGGGTGTGTCGTACCCTGTACGCTGTACGCAAAAATTTGTTAGCACCATTGCTCAAATACTAGAATAGGAAATGAAATTCTGCAAGTACCAAACGTTTGTGCTTCGTTAGACTTGGAAACCATTAGATTTCCAGCCACCCCAGATGTACCCTAGGATACCTAGCCTATGAAAAACCTTCAAAAAATCGAACTTTTGTTCGGGAGGTACCCAAAATAGGCTACCCAGGTGGGTTTTATCATGCCCACCCGATTTATTTCATCAAAATAATAGGGGCCCAGGAACAACCTAGCACCCTCTAACCCACCTTTTTGGTATTAAATCGGTATGTTAGTTTAAAATTCCTTGAAAAATCGAACTTTTGTTCGGGAGGTTCCCAAAATAGGCTCCCAAGTGAATTTTATCACTCCCACTCGATTTATTTCATCAGATTAATGAGGACCCAGGAACAACTTAGCACCCGCTAACCAGAGCGATCAACGAGCGCTCATTCGTTCGTTCGTATGCGAACATGTTCGTTTGTTTGTTCGTTCGTAGAATTTACGAACATGTTCGTTCGTTCGTTCGTTCGTTCGTTCGTTCGTTCGTTCGTAGAATCTACGAACATGTTCGTTTGTTCGTTCGTTCGTTCGTTCGTAGAATCTAATTAACCTTAAGTACGTACTTAACATACTTGAGTTTAATTACGTGACTTGAGACGTACTTAAACTCCCTTAAGTACTTACTTAGCATACTTGTTAACATACGTACTTAAGTCTCGTATTTAAGCTTAAGTATGTTAAGTACATACTAAAGTATGTTAAGTGTTCAGGAATGAACAATAATAATAATTGGAAATATGAGGTCAATACATGCGCTATATGCAGTTGTCAGCAAATTCATGCGTAATAAGTTTTATGTTATGTTTTCTTTGTTTACAAAAATTGTAGCACTTTGTACATTTGTCATATTTGAGTAACATATTGAAATCAATTAAATTAAAACCTTCAACTTAAACGAACGCGTTTTATTTAGTTCCCCTTTGTAATGATTCAATAGTTTCTCTGTTGAACATTAATGGTCCTTCGATTTTTTGAACAACGACGAAAGTTTTAACGACGAAAAATTTATAAAAAGTGATTTAACGAAAAACTACGACGACGATTTAACGAATTATTTCAAATTTGATAAAGTAAACGAAAACGAAACCGGAGTCAAAATGGCAATGAGTCAAGAAGATTTCGAAATACGCGTGGACGAGCAGAATAAAAGAAAAGAGAATTTTGCTGCGTTCAAAAGTGATTATGAAAAGGAAAAAAGTGCAAAAAAAATGATGTGCAGTTTTTTGAAAAGAAATTAGAAAGACTGCAAATGTGGTGGTTGGAATACGACAAGACCAACACAGAATTGCAAGGAGTTCAGCTAGATGATGAAGATAAAGAACTAGATTACTTCAAGAATGGTGAATTTGCGACTTTGAAAAAAGAATACAAAGATTTGCGGATATTTTGGACGCAAAGCAAACAGCGGCAACCGCATCGTTATCGGCAATAGCATCATCATCGTCACCAAAAAGATTAGTGAAAAGTCGACCATCAGTGTACGGCAAGAGAAGCTGCAACATTGTCAATGTATTGGAAGACAATGGTGATGAAAATGATTCTGTTCAGGTTCAGCAAGCCGAACAAGAGATGGCACCTGCAGAGGTGCGGGTGTTTAAATTTCAAGTGAATGAAATTAAATTGTTAATAAGTGAAATTAACAGTCAAAGTGAAGCATCGATTGGCATGGCCAGCGCTCAATTGGATATGCTGAAAACCAGTTGGGGCGAGCTGCGTTCATCATATCGGGCCCTAGTCGCTTCTGAATATTCAGTTTTTTGTGAAGAATTTAAAATCAATGAATTGCAAAGTGATTACGTGGCTGTAAGCGGAAAGTTAATAGAAATCGTAAAAAATAAACCTGAGAACTTGAACGCGAGCCTGCCCAAGTTGAAATTGCCTGAATTCGATGGAACAACATCGTGGCAAGCATTTCGTGAATTGTTCGATGAAATTGTTCACAACAACAAGAATTTATCGGACAAAACGAAGGCTCAATATCTGAAAGCGGTATTGACGGGAGAAGCGGCCACGGTTATGAGTCGTTTGGGAGCGAACGAAGAAAATTACCAAGCGATTTACGAGGCGCTCGTGAAGCGCTATCACAATAAAAGAAAACTGGTAAATGAGTTAATAGGAAAACTCATGACCATTCCGAAGCAAACGTTTGAATCGAGTGCATCGCTTCGCAATCTACATGATGTGACTGCCGAGTGTATAACTGCGATTTCCAATTTAAATGTGTGCACCAAAAATTGGGATCCGATCATTGTGTATATTTTGACGCAAAAGCTACATAAAAACACAGTGCTCGATTATGAAAGCAAGCTCGCCGATGTGCGTGAGTTGCAGTCACTAAAGCAATTCTTAAGTTACATTGAAAGCCGTTTTATGGCATTGTTGGCAACTGAAAACAGTGAAAAACCGGTAGAAAAGTTTAGTGAAAAAAACTACGAAAAAACGACGAAAAAAGAAACGGTTCCATTCGGGTGTACATATTGCGGAAAGCAGCATTCTGTGTATAAGTGCGATGAATTTTCAGCAATGAGTACACAAAAACGTTACGATTGGGCAAAAGAGAAGAAGATTTGTTATGTATGCCTGCAATTTCATCGCCAAGGGGAGTGTAAAAGCAAATTTCCTCAATGTAAAATATGTAACAAAAAACATAACACGCTATTACATTTGGAAATGAAAAAAGAAAAAACAAAAAGCAACGAATCGACGGTTAATGTGAATTGTGCTGTGGCTACAAAAGATGAAGATAACTTGTTGGCCACTGCGATTGTACGAGTGTTGCCTGAGAACGGTGATAAAATCGCTTTACGCGCGCTAATCGATCAAAGGCTCTCAGGGTGCAATGCTCACTGAAGAGGCACTTCAAAAACTACATCTACCAGTGGAAAAAGTGAGAGCTGGTGTTGATGGATTTACTGGCGCTCAAAGTCAATCGAAAAAACGTGTAAGTCTTGAAGTATACTCACGTTTTTCCAATGAATATGTTTTACGCACACGCGCGTTGGTGTTCAAAAAGATCACCAGCTTGGCTGTTTTCAAAGGAGATTTGAAACAGTATACACATCTCCAAAATTTGTTGTATCCCAATAAACGTCGACTGGCTGAAATAAGGCCCGTTCTAACGTTGATGATTTCAGTACGCCCAACGGTAATACTTACTGTCTTTTTCACCTAATTTACTGTAAGATCGGGTGAAAATTCTACTATGAGTTACACCCAATTAACACCCAATCATATCCAAACTATACCCAAACCATACTCAAATTACACAGTACGACAGGTGTTTTTTTTATTTTGTCCCTGGCGAGATATTTGAAGGGCTGAAAGAGGGCCTCAAATCATGAAGAACTGCATCATTACTTTTTAAAAGTTGGTAAGGTTTTGTCGTTTTCAGATATTTTTCGTTTCCAGTGTACAAGTCATTATCAAATGAAATGGCATGCCATTTAATCCCACTCCTAGTGGTTTTATAAAACGTATACGTATATGATTACTTCTACAAAAATGTTCAGTGGACAATTCTACATGGAAATATATTTCCAAACTGTTTATGTAGTGATAAAATTGAATGAAATGGGTTACGAATCGCTTTACCAATCACTGTATTTTTAAGGTTTGGTCTCCATCGGAACTCTCCACATGCCTATATCTGAATACAAGGCGTCAGAAAAATATCACAAACTCGAAATTGTCGATATTTTCATATGTCAATAAAATTGTGAAATAAAAAAAATCTGGTAGTTCTCAAAAATTCAAAATTCTTATTTTAATCATGATTAAATCCCAGTGCACTGGGTTAAAGTATACTATAACTATTACATTAATAGTCCTAAAATTATTGAACAATAACTGAATTATTGACCAATAAGTGAACATTAATTTTGGCCTTCAGTTTCGAAAATTCATGGATATTGGCAAAACTGAATGCCAATTGGCATTTGCCACAGGAGTGGACACGGTTTTCATAAGAAAGGCAATCAATTTCCCACGTACGTGTGTCGTCTTTGCACATTTTCATGGGTATGTCAAATGAAATGGCAATGCGGACGTTATGAAAAACCATACCACGTGATAGCGCATCTGTGCAGATAAGTAACTTGCCTTTTCCCTTCAGAAACCCTTGAAGAATCTCTTCACGATCAGCAAGCTCCATATCACCCGAATGCATTACCACGTCATGGTCCTTTTTTAAATTTTGAAAAAGTAATTCTGCATTTTTTTTTTCATTGCAGAACACAATGGCTTGATCACCTGATTTCATTAAATTTACCATTTCATTGAAATACACCAGTTTAGTATGTGCATTAACGACGCGGCAGTAATGCTTGATAGCATTAGTACCCAGACGTGCATGCACAACTTTCGTATCGGTCGATTGATACGTTTTCATAGGGGCCTTGGCCAATCCATTCACGTACATATGATTGCAATGCATTGTCTGCAATCTTATACACAACTTCTCTTTTATCGCTGTGGATAAGTAGATCAGACGGGTTTTATTCAACCGGTCGACAAATTCATGAATTTTCGAGGTAGTGAATGTCATGTCACCATCGTCTAAAAATAATGTTGAGAGATGGTCAAGATTTATGTTGCGAAGTTCAACTAGGCGAATTATATCATGTGGAGTCCCAACGATGATTTTGAAACGTTCCAAATTCGCTGGTCCAACTGAGCCTGTCACCAACCCGACATCGATGGCCTTGATGGTATTGCCGGCAATGGCTTTCAGAATTTTGCGTATCAGGTAGAATAACTGTACCGCAGCGTCCGAATTGATGCAAAAATAAATTGATTGCAGTACGGGGAACGGATTCAGCTCAATCGCCATCGCCGTTATTGCCGCTGTAGTCTTACCGCTACCCCGTGGCGCCAGAACGCACATGTGCCCGTAAACGTTTCTTTGAATATTGCGAAACATCCACTCCTATAAATGCACAAGATGAGAATATATTAGCCTATAGTCACGACTCAAAGAATCAGCGGAAAATTCTAAAAAACAAGTTTTCACACGTGTAGATGTAGCATTTGGCTTGATCTAGTAATTAGCTTACCGAATTCGGATTTCACTTGAAACCAAAATGTTTTGGCAACTAACGAATGGCTAAATCCAGTCAAATGCTGCATTTACGCGTGTGAAGACAAATCCGCTGATTTATTTATAATCGGAATGATCTCCGACAGTTCACATACCTGCATAGGTATGTTTCGAATATTTGAACCAATTGCGCTCAAAGCAGTTGATATACGTCGCTCGCGGGCCCGTTCGGAACTCTCATCCATTTGCTTTAAGAACAGTGGGCACGTTGACAAATCGGTGTAGCCTAACGGTGGCAAACCATCCTCACCCAAATCAATATTTGATACCCAGACTACGTGACACATCAAATTGGGCTCCAGGGAATTGTATGCGACACCGTCAAACATTTTGTAGAATTCCTCAGCCGATCCGCTCGAACGGAATCTATTAGGAGAGAAAAAAGTATGAAAAATGGAGATAAAAACGTGGAATTCACGAAAGATCTCGAAAAAACGATAACATGTTTGAACAATTTTGCCAAAAACGATTGCATTTAGAAATAAATTGAGAATATGAAGAAAACGTGACTGAAATATCGACCATGGTCGATGCATTTAGTGCCAATGATGGCTCGACGAAGTTTCCATTGAATTCAATTCTTAAATGGGAAAAGAGATGCAGTGACAGTTGTTTATTGAGGCGCTCATCACGTCTATGCAAAGTCATGACTGCCATATTACTTTTTTTATCCAGAGAGTATACTAAGCAGATAAAATTTTAAGCGTTTCGAACAAGTGACATACATATGTCACAAGATTGCAATCTTTTTGTCAGATGAGCACCGAAAACTGTGAAAATTCCCACCAAAAAGTCTGAAGAGGATGCATGCATCAACATTCGTTACAAATCTGTTGATCTATGAATAGATATACCATGGTATACAACACGATACAACGATGGATGTATTCTCAAAATAATTCTTCGATACTTACTCAATCAAAACCATCAATTGATCTTGTGTACACCATGGATGGAATGCTTTATAGCGAATAATGCGAACGTGTTGAATGGTCAGATGGCATGGTGCAACAAATTTCAGAATATCCTTAGATTTCAGTTTTGCTGGAACGGTCGATAAACATAGCATTTTCGATACATCGTCGGTGATGTTGGTTGGTTCGCTGCAAAAAAGACAAACGCATGTATTAATTGCAATTAATCTCAAATCAAAAAATATATTCCATCGTGTTGCCTCATATTCTGATCTATTTTGTTTCTCTATAGGGAAATAGCTGTCAAACTTACTCTTTCCTATAAATATTAATGATGCCTTTAGTGATCTCAACGAATGGATAACCGTAGAAAAAATCAATTTCATCCAAGCCAGTTTTGGCAGTTTCATCGGTCATTGGTGTTGTTTGCTGTGATACGAACGGTAAAATCTGACATGCGATCTAGCTTCACATAAGAATTGGGAATTTTCTTTTCCATTGATTCACGTTGATATGACACTATAATGAACAAACAAAAATATCATCTTGTGTATTCTTTAAAAAATATATATATTCAGGCTTGATTTTTTGACGCATGCGTATATACTTACAGTTATTCGAATTATCCTTCTTGGAGTGTATTTTATTGACAATTGTCCTTTTAAAAGGATGATATAATTTTTTTAATTCACTTTAGTTCTTCAAACACAATTCATCTACCTCTTAGCAGTGCAAATGGCGTATTAAAATAAGTTATGGCTTTGTCATTATGGCTGCTTTGTGGTGGATTGTGTCAAATGTCAAATGTCTAAAAGGGGACCAGTTTCTGTAGGTCTCCACGATTGGAATCGATATTTGTATTTTTTCCAAGGAAAATTGATAAATTTTAATTTTTTTGTTTTTTTCAAAGTTTTTTTTTTAAATTTAAGGAATTCTTTTGTTTTATTTTGTGTCCGAATTCTTGCAAGACATGTCGCTTTGAATAAACTCAATTCAGCGGAAACTCTGAACGCTCGAACAATATATCCCAAGTATACGTAGTCGAATTTTTCACTAGATGGCGTTGCTTGAAATCACTTGATAAGTTTCAAAT